GCTAGGAGCTGGAACCAACTTCCTAGGGAAGTGGTGCTGGCTCCTACCCTGGGGATCTTTAAGAAGAGGCTTGATGACTACCTGGCTGGACTCATTTGAGTCCAGTCTTTTCTCCTGCCCAGGCGGGGGGGTCGGACTTGAAGATCTACAAGGTCCCTTCCGACCCTACTTCTATGATTCTATGGGTGGAAACTGAACAGGCCCTTATGCTGCATTATCAGCCATCATAAACTCTACTTATCTCCATCTTTCTCTCTAATCCAGGGGTGGGCAAAATAAAGACTGCGAGCCATGTCTGGCCCAGCAAGGGATTTTGTCCAACCTGTGGCAGGTCCCTTGGTCTTGCCAAGCCCAGGTGTAGAGGGCCTGTCCCACCACCCCCAAGTGCACAGCGGGGCTGGCACAGTAAGGCAGCCAGACTCGCTTCCCAGCAGCCCCAGCTCCTTCCAGCTGCTGCTGCCAACCTGGCCCCAATATCTGGGCACCCACTGCCAGGGGGGACCCACACAGGCAGGGTGTGCAGTTGGGAGGATTAGATGGGACTGTGGGCAGGTGGGGAGCAGTGTTCAGGAGTGGAACAGGACAGCAAGGCCAGGATCAGAGGATAGGATCGTGGGGTAGTGACAGTGCAGGGATGGGGCAGGGGGCAGGAGCAGGGGCAGGGGCAGAGCCATGATCCATTATCCACACGGCCCTGAGAAGGATGCACGTTTTGCAGGCAGGGGCATGCAGAGAGGGGATTGTGACTCTGCCCTGGGCCCCAGCCCTTTGCTATCACCGCCCAAAGATCCTAGCCTGGGATGCAACTCCCTGCTCAACTGTGGACCCATCCCATTCATCTAGCTATGTACCCTGCATGTACGGATCCTAGCTTGTCTTCACAGAGACCCTGGGATTGCTAGGTAGTGACAGCACAGGGCTGGGGCTCAGGGCAGAGCTGCATTACACTCTGCACACCCTGTCCATGGAACCAGCACCTGTTGTAGGGGCATGCGGACAGTGAATCATGGCTCTGTCCTGGGCGCAGGCCCTAGCCCTGTGCTGTCACTGCTCCATGATCCCAGTTCCAATCCCGCCTACCTAAGACAACTTCAAACAATACTGTAATTCATCACTCTAAAAACAGGTGCAACTTAAAGTGTAAAATATGACAAGCTACCCTAAAAGATCCAGAGGGGGTAGAGTTGAGCAGCTACGCTCTCCTTTTTGGATTACACTGCACCACCACAGGAGTCTTCAAGGACTTTGTAAAATCCCTGAAGGATGTGAAAAGCTTCCCACCCTTCCCCTTCCTGCTGAAAGGCATGCCCCTTTCTCCTCTCCCCGACCTGACTCTGCCCTCTGTCCTGAGGTAAGGAAGCACTAGAACTGGTCCTACTCATTGTATGGGGGCTGCATGCAGCTGGAGATGCAAAAAACAGTGGGGATGGACAGAGGCTCCCCCTCCCTGTTCTTGCTGTAGGCAGGGTGGGGAGAACTACTTTCCTGCCACACTGTTGCCACTGTCCCCAGATGAGCCCAGCCACTGCTCAGCCTGGATTGACTCTGGAGCTTCCAGGCCCAGGAGCAATGGAGAAAACAGCAGCAGCAAGCATGGGAGCTGAAGGGAGAGGGAGAAGAAGGGAAGGGGCCTGCCTCTGAGCAGGAAAGAGAAGCGCATGGGGATGGATTTTCACTTGCTGCATGGACTTAAAAGTCCCCAGAAGTTCCTGTGGCACAGTCTACCTGCATCGGTGAGGGCAGAAGATGCTGGGAGCGGGGTGTGCAGCCAGCCCTGCAATGCAGATTGCTGCTCCCACACCCACTTTTAAGAATTCCCGGATCTGCCCCGTGTCCTATTTTTTCAATGCATCTGCCCCTGTGTGTTATTAATAAGGCCTCCTGAAAGAGTGTAATCTGGGAATGATTCAAGTTGAAGTTATTGGTGATATACCCAAGAACACATATTTGCCAAAGTTATCAGTGCTGAGTTCAAAACTATGTTAACTATAGTTAAAATTTATTTCCAAAAAGAACTGATAATAGAATGCAACTAAAATACATGACTAAGCATTACCTGCAATGCATCACACCTCCAACATGTATTGAGAGCGCAACTTGTGACTATTTTTGATCCTGTTTCCAGGAATGCTTTCAATTACTTCCATGCAGCCTGCCATTTTCCATTACACTGGACAGCAGGTAAACTAGATCTTCAGTTTTAATCCCAAATATATTCTATGATAATCAGGACAATATTTTCCATCCATATAGCACTTATTATTCCTCTTAAATGATCCAAAGCTCTTTACAACCTATGGGCCCACTCCTGCAAATTTTTACATGAGTATCGTCAGTGAAATCAAAATGGATTCTCATTTGAGAAATGGATGTAGATTGGGCCCCTTCTACAAACAAACAGTATCACCAAGACAGCCTCACTTTGAGTGCTGCAATAAATGAAAAGTGTGTTCCCGTTCATTGTGGAAGAAGCTTTCCATATAGGCAGCTTTACAGTACCATACTTACTCTCATACAACATGTACATTTGTGGTACTTGTAAACCCCCCTGCAAACCAGCCCTCCAAAATTGGGATGCATATCGTAAGTAGGGAAGCTGATTTTTTCTCCACCGGAATACCAACAGGAATGAATAGGAGTATGCAGACACTGGGCTCTACTGACTCCCAGGATGGTTACTACTTCTCCCTGGCCCCAACAAACAGAAAAGGTGAAGTCTAATGTTAACCCTCTCACAACTACAGAAGCTATTGATTGAGTACTGCACCTTGTGTCTGAAGCACCAATTGAGCTCGCTCAGAGTAGTATCTTCATGAGGCTTGTAGTGTGGAAAAAACACTATTATTTAAGGAACTTATATAAAAAATATTTTCTTCTACATTCTGCCTTCCAAATACAAGGTCTTACATACAGGGATCAGGAGGGGAAAGAGTGGACGGTACTGTGAGAAAATATGGCATATTCTGGGGTAAGGCCAAAGAACATTCATCTACCACAGTTGTGTCATGTTTTCTAAATGACTTTGGAATTTTCCTTCTGGTCATGCTAAGTGCTTAGTTACCAAATATACTGATGGATGCAGAAGTAAATGCATATATAGATGGACACTACTATGGCTGCTGCAGCAGTAGTATTTACATTAAGTGTCCATGTCCAAAAAGAAATGTGTATTTTAACTACTGATTTCATTTCATGATCAATAAAAGATAAAATCACAAGTTTCTTCTTTTTTTTTTAAGGTTTAAATTCAATCTGCTTACCTTTAACTTTTTTATCAAACTTTTTCTGTTTCATCTTCTCTCTGGTACCTTGGCGAGCTTCCTTTGCTTCTTGTAATGCTTCTTCACTGCCCCAAATTTCAAGAGAACGTTTTATTACCTAGAGGGTGGAACATAAGCACATTTCATTTTACCCAGCCTCTATATCCCAAAGATTCCTTCACAATGACAGGCAGGTTTCTTGCTTGAAATGGATTTGCAAGTAGAGATTCACCAACTCATGATCATTCTATCTGACCCTATGTGATTTCCTATATTCCACTTTTAAGAATATGAAGATGCTAGCGAATTGCCTACCAAGAATGACTGGCGGGGGGGAAGAGGCCAATGATCTGACAAGAGCTTAGCCACCCACCAACTTTCACTGAAGCAAAGTTGTAACAGTGATTAATTAGCATAATTAAATAATGAGAAACAGCCTCCTCAACAATACTTGTAAAGGGCTTGTGTACACTACGTAATGACACATTTCGGAGCACTACCAAGAATTACACCTCACTACATGCACCAAATGCCATATGGGCTGCTCAGGGTTTTATCCCTTCCACTGTTCTGCAAGGTTGATTCTATACAGAAGTATAAACACAAATCAGATTTTGATTTGGAGAGTACCAAGTAAATCCTATCTGACTGTCTGACTGGGTACTGTACTTGAGGAGAGCTCTACAAACACTTCAGGCACCCCCAATTTGTTGCAACGTGTAAAAATTGGGCACCTCGCTCCAGCAGGTGATAAGGCAACTTACTGTTTCCTAGGCTCTCCATGCACTCAATGGAAAGCATTAAGTGCCTCCAAAGGGAGATCTAGATCACTTAGATGCTGAGTAGGTATCTGCCTAGGGTGAGCCAACAGGAAACACTCAGCCCAGGGGTCCATTTGAACTTGTGTTTTTCTAAAGCTGCAGTACCTAACTCAGGCCTGTGCATTAGGTGCCTCCTCCTATTCAGGATCCAGTGGTAGGTAAATGATGCCGTGGCAGAGATACTGCCCACCTTTTACGTAATAGTCTAGGGATTCCAATATTTTCCCAAGAAGTGGGAGACTTGGGTTCTAAAACCTCCTGAGCCTGTGGAAATTTTAAGCCACATTTCTCACTTTGCTGGAATGTAACCCCTGCTTACCAAGTGACAGGACAGCCCTCCGGCGGAAGCAAGATCTATTGTGAAGCTGAGAAAGCAACTCAGAGGCCCAAAACAGAGTAAGATGCAGTCTAACTCTGTAGCCCAGAGAATCCAGAGTACCCAATCACTGGGGCAGGGAGTCAGATTGCTTTTAGCTTCCTCTTCTTTTGGCTCTGTGACACTTGTTTTTTGCTGCACAATTTATTTAGTGTGGCAAATTATAAATATTCTGAGTTCAGCACCACTACAGAATGCAGCAGGAGCATCATTAGAATACAAAAAAAGGACCAAATCATTTGAAAAATATAACACTTTTCATACCTGGAGTTTTAAGTAAAGCTTCATGTCACCCCAATTTGCATTGTGAGGGTTTTTTTTCAAAATAAATCTGAGTGCTGGTTCTCTTTTGTCCAAATCACAGTCTTTCAAAAGGTACTCCTGTTTTGCCTCAGTCTTTGTTATAAGCTTATGCTTATCTTCAGCATCCCTGAAGAAAAATTTTAGAAGAGTTTAACAAAAAGCAACTTGCAACAGCTAGACACCTAGCACAAAGAAGTAGTAATAACGAAAAGATTTAAGATTAAAAATACAATTTATT